TGTTCTGTTGACTCAGCTGCGTATACGCACGTGGCCGTCCACGCCGCCCTATCGCAAGACTTTGCCTACTTGTAAATATTTTCTTATGGCGAAACTTTTATTATTAGAGTATCTAAGTTTAATCAATTGCTTGACTTTCCTGATTTCTTTCTCTATTTGCGGCGAGCGTTAGATATTTTTTTATAAAATACTTTGTTGCGTTCGTGAATCAAAAAATAAAGATCAGTAATGTTTTATTAACAATAACCGTTTTTAAATGAGGTCAAACGATTAGTTTGCGGTTTGTATTATGCACGTAAACAATTATTGATAGAGAAGTGACATGCCTACTGTAAAAGTGATGCCTTTCACTAATCACGTGTGGTAAAATATATACGTCCAAAGTACCTATAGAAAAATAGACTAGGTACGTATCTTTTACTAAGTCAAACTTTAGATTTATGACTAATAAATCTAAAGTTTGGTATAGCGTAAATAGTATTGTTAATTTGATTAAACCACGTTTTAGATTTTACAATTAAATATAATTGATGTTTTTGAAATGAGAAGTCTAATAACAAGTAGAAAAAAATTTTACCCCAATTTGTAGTAGTATTATTCAGACCAATTGGAATAGGTATTTTAGGTTATCAGAAGTCCAATATTATTATTTACGAACCGCATGGAATATGTAATGTTTCAAGAGTAAAGCTTTCTGAACTGCTATCCAGAAATCTTCACTTCACACTTCAAAATCAGTGCTGGGAGAAATATAGCGTTCATAGAAAATAATTCAAAATTTCAATTAATTTGATTTATTGGAATCTTTTAAAATGATTTTGTCAAACTGTGTTCTGAACCTTCATGTAATATTCATTAACAAAAGTTAATGTCGGCTACAAACTAACTGTGCAGACGGAAGCGATGTTTTGCTCACTAAATAAAGTTTGACGCTACTCGCAATTTTGGGTTTTGTATAGAATGTGTATAACATGTGTACGAAACACAATTTTGAAGGTATTTCGGGGTATTCAACAATCTGAATGAAAATGTATACTAATACTTTTTTCCTCCTTATTCAATGTTATCTTTCATATGTATGTAATATTAAGCCTACATTAGTGTGTTATAGGTAACTCTTAATTTAGAGTAGAACGGTACCAAATTTCAACAAAAATAAAAATTAAGATTTGATTTAGCCTTCGCGAAATCATCCAGAATTAAAAACGTCATAACTAAGTAATGAGGTGTTAGACGAACAGCCAATACCATAACAATACAGCTAACGATAAAACGAAGTAACGATAAGTAGTTTTCCATGTAGCGAGAACGCACAGACGACCGTCGCGTCTGCGGTTCAACACAAACATCAGAAACAACGTCCCAATTCCTTTAGTAGCTCAGTATTTTTTATTTCGATTTCAACAGTAAAACATGTTGGACTCGACCTAGCAATCAATTACCGCCAGCGAATTTACGACATCTCGTTCATCGAACATCGTTTTATTGGCAGGCAACATTTTAATAAAAATGTCACCGTTCTGTCTCGACTGGCATCCGACGGCGCACCTCATCAAAATCACATCAAAACGCCCCGAACACCCACTTGGTCTCACTCAAACATTTTTAACACCCATTTGAATCTAAATTTTACTTAACTTTAGCTGTGACGAGACGCAGTCTTCAGACACTTCATATCCCTCGGCGACGTAGCGCAATAAAATAATAACGACTTTGTTGTATACTTACCTTTAAGACTTATATTTTGCGATATTTTCGCAAACTCCTATTTTATTTAAACACGAATTTTCTTGCCACCCGTTAGCGTCGAATTAAGATGCCTCTTGTCACTTTACAATATCATGGAATTTATATCGCGCGAGCAATACCGCGCAATGTGGCATGTAGGGAAGCAAGACTAATTCACGCGAGAAAATAACTTTTCAAGACATTGAATTTTTGTGAAATATTTGTACTTGCGAACCATTTTGTGCGTAGAGCAAAACATTCTGCGAATACTTTCAAGCTGTTGTTCGAAAGTATTGCTTGCTTTTAATAAATCGGTATTCTGCCGTATTTTTGGTTTTGGTATTAATGTTTAAAATTCCTTCCTGAATATACTGTATAACTAATATGTGTACGTAAAGGATGCTTCAGACAAGTTGTACAAAACAGCAAAATTGTTTTGCTATAGAATAGATTTTCTGATACAAAGAGTAAAGTATTAACGTGAAGCTCTCAGACAATGGCAAACACGAGGCGGCACGCAACACAGCCGTCAGGATAAATGTATCGAGCACCACAAATACCATCCGCTCTCAGACTTATTGTTTAAGATGGCACTGGTGAAAAATTGCATTCTTTGCCGTTTCATCATTTCTGTATGTTTGAATGTCAGAATAGTTTCCTAACATACAATCGCTGGCCATACTTTTAGTATTAAATATATTTTTCTGTATAAGATTTGTAATATTGGATATCTTACTGCGTCTAATTGGATTTGCGAAGTTCACATTTTCCTCGGCTTTTCAGTGCTCTTGCCAACTAACCAGCTATTCACTCTGTATTTAATTCCTCTTTTATAGCAATGTTAAAGTGTTCAGTACCGACGATGGTGAAATATAATAGGAAAAGTTTCATTTGGCTAATTAAAAATAAGCCACCCTTGGGAACCATCCCGATTTATTGTCGTTATCCAACCTTAGGACGGCTATGTCTGCTGTTTTATAATAAAAGCTCATTTGTGTACAGTTTACTGAATGCACAGAAACTAAGAACAATAAAAAACAATGTTGACAACGTACCATGAATGCCTCTACGCCTGTTTATTAACAGAGGATACAAATGAAAAAAAAAAACCTATTTGCATTAATTTTATTTCGGTTTATTTTGATAATATCAAATTTCTTACACAAACGGCATGTTTACCGGTATAGAGCTCACAGATATCCAATATTGTGTTTACCTTTTTCTGTAGAAATGAAATCACAACGCCAGCGGGGTGTCGCCCCATGTGTCTCTTTAATTATTGCGTCACCATCAATTCGGAAAGTTTTAATGTGTGTATGCTCGTTCTGCGGAACTTAAAGTACTAACGACGACGCTTCAAGCACTCTCGAAACCTCTCGCTAGCTCCTTGAAACCAGCTCTTCTCACGTTTGTTGGTTGAACATCAAAATAAAGGAACAGGATCAGTAAATTTGTGCAAGACCGAATCCGCCTTGCCAAGTTTTATACAAATATTGTTTAACTTTTTGTTTCTTAAAGTTAAATCTTATTTGATTCAATATACTTTTGCGTAAATAGCAGTCGAGACGTTTCGACACCAGTGAGACCGCAAAGTTTACTGGCTGCCCGGTTTCTCCACGCTATTACATAGTGTTCAGTGGTTCAGTAGACCTAATTAGAGGAAGCTGCGATCGTCTACGCCCGGCGGTTCGCTCCTGTTAACTGACTCTATACCAGAATGAATTGATTTTGGTCCTATTCCTATAGTTGCGATTGCGGCAAGTTTTACCTCCTCACTAAGACTTGCACTTACCTAAACTCGGTTGAAAGTTTTATGTCTCGTTTTAATGCCACGACAAGTCATCGTAGACAACTATAAAAATTGTCGATTGCGAGACAAAAGCGTGATCGGGTTTGGTAAATAAATAGTCTCCGTCGCAGTGCTCATCAATCTTGCAGAAGAAAAGTAAATTGTGCAGTTTACAGTGAGTTCGTCGGCCGAGACCTGCAACCTCACTAAACTGTCGTGTGCGCGAGATAACGTTTCAATTGTCAACGTGACAATTAACACAGACAGGTCTACCTGAGGCGACAACTTGAGAGCTTCACTGAAAATTAATACAGTAATTCATGGACAATTAATTAGTCGCATGCCTATATCCCGACACTTTCGCATCTAACTAAATGGTTCTATTCACAATTCATTGCCATCAATCATAAAGTGTGTAAATGTATTATTCGTGTCGTTTGTGCAGCTGTTCAGTGTGAAATCAATCACGCGAGTCTCGTGCAGACGGCACTAGCAGCCAGTTATTTATCACACTCAAAATCGACAACACAACTGACGAGTAATTTACAGCATTAGGTATTATCATCAGCAGAATGCCATGACCTAAAGTAACAAAATGTTCGATCGAAGTAGATGTTACTTGCATTGGAGTTGTTGTATCCAGAGGTGTTTGCAATATCGGATAGTACACCCGCTATTCTCTAGGCAAATTACACTACACTATACTTCAAATCATACGGAGTTTGTTTGCGTAGGTCAACGCTCTCGCTTCGTACGTTTTATGTGTTCCTGGTGTCACGACGTCACTCTAATAATAGATAGGAATGTCTAGCATCAATATATGAAACCGAAATGTAACGAGAGTTCCTCACTTATGCATTCGCATTCTGTTTCATGTGCAGTAACCGTGTAGACAATTAACTGCTCGATATTAATAATTTTAGATTAGTACAGTGCCTCGGTGACTATAATGCAAGACTTTAGTTGTTAACCAAATGGAGAACAATGCAGTGTTGATCAATATGACGGCTAGAAAATGGGCATGTATGCTTAACGCTTTGACAGCTCATAATAATTATTATGCTTAATTAAGGCGTACCACTGTGCCTACGCTGCAACAGTAACTCGTTAAACTTTCATTATTATTCTCTCTCACAAATTGCTCGTACGTGAACGAATTGTGCTCACAATCGATCTCCGCGGCGTTCGTGAGCCTTTGTTTGACTTCGACTCCGAATTCAGCGTAATTGCCTTTCAGCCTTTCATTATTCAACTTTATGCAGTCATTTACTTGTATTATTACGAAGGGAGAGTTGCTGCGGTAAGTGTCGTGGGTGGATGCATTAATCGTAATATGTAAATGTGGGGATATGAAATATTGAAATTGCGAGAGTGGATTTACAATAATGTCTGCGCTTTTGGCAAACGGGGTTGTAGATGTTTATTATTTTCGCTGTATAATATGTGTCGGGCAACTATGATATATATGTTTTTATTGTTGCAGATCGAAGACGAGGGCAACCACGGTAACGATGACACGCGGCTGTTTATTTTATCGACGTTGGCGGGACAGCACAAGCCACGCGTATCTTGCGCTCTGTGCAAGGAGACGCTGCATGTCTTCGATCGCTACCCACTCGTGGATGGCACTTTCTTTTTAAGCCCTCGTCAGCACACTGGAAGCGCTGTTGAGGTACATTTAATATGTAGTCAAACTAGAATTAATTAGTATGGGTGTTCTTTGTGTCTTTAAAAGGAAGAAAAACTTCCAAATTAAGTTCATGACACAAATAAGATCCAACAAAATGTTTATTTAAAACCACGGAATCTGACAAACGGCGCTATATGAAGGCTTGCCAGACTGTTTACACAGTGAATTAAGAGGGATTCACAGATTCTAGTATTTGTTTACTTTTAGAATTTACATGCAAACCCAACCCCGGCTACATTGTCGGTGCTATTCAAATGGCTTGTTGTTGAAATTCTTTGTCCTAATCCTATAAAGTAGACTTTAAACTAAAAGAAAAGCTCTGTAGTACCTTTTGAATGTTGTGACCAAAAAGGTTTATTTTTCAATGTAAGAAAATATTAACTTGTGCTTTGTGAATCATCTTTTTTATTACACGTTTTATTGTTTCGCTTATCTCTACACAGTTCTTGCTTTTAATTATTTACAGATCTTTACACTGCTCGATGTGTAAATAAAATCTTAGTCCTAAAAGAAGTATTTTTCTTCAAGCAATTTCGATTCAATTCGACCGCTCCTTAGCAACCAGAGTAATTTAATATACCTAATACGTAACAGATTAAAATTATTCACTTGATAAATCTCCATAGCTTCAATATCAATCAACTTTTTAAAACAAATGGTCTGAAAGAGCCCATCCGTTTAGATTAAGGATTAGATTATGATTTTGAGATAACTAACGAATCTGACATTTCGACTTCCTTATTCAAATAAAAAAATAGTGAACAGTGATAACTTTTGTCGGATTTGTTTTTATAGACGGTTAAAAACAATAATTACATCTCTAAGTAAAAAAACTGTAATAAGTAACCTCAATATAACAGGTAACATTATAATAGCAATAGTCCCTTCTAGTCTGTTTGAAGTGCCAAGTAAAAGAGGTGCTTCATAGGCTTGGTAGCGCGGCATCTGCAACATCTTCTTAATTTTCCTTAAACCAGGAGTGGTATTTTTTCTTAACATTTGAATGGAACTTAAAGGGAAATATACCCTTCCAAATAAAAAATAATTTTCATAATCGGCTTACAAATGAAAGAGTTTTGAGGTAACAAACATTTTTTTTGTCTAAATGTTTTGTAATGTCACATTGTGCACATATCTCTGCAACCCAACACAAACACCTAACAAATATCTTGAAAGAAAAAACATGGTCAAAACATGATTCGCTTTTTGAAAGAGTTATCCTCTAACTTCTAAAGGTCAAGGACCCTTTCATCATCAGCATGACATAACGACTACTAAACCTATATAACTAGATAAACAAGCTAAAACACGTTGTCGGAGCTGTAAAATTTGAGGGTTTGCCTCGATTTCTCTAGAATCCCATAATCAGATCATGATTTGGTGGGAATGGGACTACATCGGAAATATACCCTTTCGATAACAATAATTTTGAAAATCGGTCAGCAATTCACGGAGATATCGCTTAACAAACATACAATAAAGAAAAAAAAAACAGACGAATTGATAACATCCTCTTTTGTGTTTTTGAAGTCATTTAAAAACGCAGTAGAAGTGTAAGCAAATTTAAACATTAACCCCAAAGTACTAATAATTTACAACTTACATTTGTACAGGTGAAAGTTGAAGGCCGTACGCAGTATCTCACGTGCGTGTGCATGGGCTGTCTAGAGCGTTACGACCCTGATCGCACCATAAGATGTCGGTTTTGCGGGCAGAAGTGGGACGGCTCATCGCTCGTACTCGGGACCATGTACTCTTATGACATCTTCATGGCCACTCCGTGCTGTGCTGAAAGACTGAAGGTGTGTACATGTATACGATCATTGCTGGCATTGTAAGCACGTATGTTTAAAATTTTGCTAATATTAGGTAATCGGTTATTAAGTAGCTGATTTTTTTCCTACACAAAACTTTAAATGTTTTATTTGTCCACAGTGCAACAACTGCTTCAAGCCTCTCCTGCACCCGCAACAACGGCTGAACTACTCCGACTACTCGCATCCAGTGACGTGCCCGCACTGCCGCGTGGCCGACACACATTTCGTCAAACCGCTCAGCTATTGCTTCACCAAACGGGTCTTTCCGCTGTTCCAGCAGTGGCCATAACAGTCGGCGGTGCCGGGAACATCTCCCGGCACCCCCCCTGCTTCCGAAATGTGGGGCTTAGCACCGTCGCCTCCGCGTCGGGCCTCACCCCCTGCGCTTAGACCCGTCGTCAACACAAGCATGGCCTCCCGAGCCCCTGAAACATCCGCGGACGAACCTTCTACCAAGTTCCTCACACCAACCCTGGCCAGCATTACCGAATCACTGTCTTTGCTTGGCGTGAGTCCAGAATCACTAGCAATGAGCCTTGGAGAATCACTTGCTGACCGTTACCTGGCTACGCTACGACCGAAACCAGTGGATCGGTCCGTGATAGGGGGCTGCGGCATTCCGCGTAGAACTCCTATCGCCGAACCTTCTCTTCAGCTATTTTCCAATGACTTCATTGACTACTTGAACCAGATCGCATAATGTCGATGATTCCTTGTGATTCTGAGTGAAAAAAAAAAATCATCGTGAAAAACTTTTCTGTGTTGCGACGTTGTTTCTATTGAACTTTTCGTGTCCAAGTGATGTTAGAAATAATTTATGTTAAATTAAGTTGGTATTATTGAAAATAATTTTATGTGTCAGTTTAGATCGTACTATTGATTTTATTTTAATTTTATTCTGCACTTTGTTGATTAGAAGTTGATTTTAAAAGTATGTAGTAATTAGCAGTATAGTAAGATGCCAGAAATTGCATTTTTTTTTGTTTTCGATTCAATCTCAAAATTGAGTATTTCCTTTTGAAGGACCTAAATAACGAGTTTTTAAATTATTGATTACCTTCGATTTCAGTGATACTGATGACCCTATCTGATAGGGGCGTTCGAGCGGCGTGTTGTTTAGTTCAATTTAGTTTATTAGTTATGTTTTATTTTAGCAAAATTTTTAACCTAACTTAAGTGTTATACAATATTTTCGTAGGTTTCTTGTGAACTTTTATTTCCTCCCACCAAATGGCACTTTATTAGTGTAACTAAATGTACATCTACTAAAGTTGCCATGTTAGGTCTTAATATCAGTTTCATTTATTTACTTATATTTTCACATACATAATTTTAACAATAATAATGGTAGAGGATTTTAAGAGTAAGTAATTGCTGTGTCACCAATAAATATGATTAGCCTGTCTATATCTATAGGTTATGTATTGTCGAATTGTTGTTTTACCTACGTTTCTATAATTATTTATAAATGTCAGTGATTAACGGACTAAAATATACTAAATTATAAAAAAAATCAAATATAACTTTTTGGAATAGTGCCATATCAGTTAAAGTAAGGGTAAAAAGCACTTTTGAAATCGAAATTTTATTAAATGAAAGCCGTTAATCATTGAAAGAACAGTTTTTATGGAGAAATATGAGAAAAGTTTTTTTTGTTATTGTCTATCTACTATACGTTTTGGCTATCTGAATAGTTTAGATTAAGAGTTTTCTTATTATCATGGATGTCTATTTATTTGTAAGTTAATGGCGCTTTGACATTTACTAAGCGTAAATTAAGTGATGTGCACATTTACTCAGTAACTGTTTAACGTTAACGTTTTAGGTAAGTTTTTATACATTTGATACTTATAACTCGCGAAGTGATTACAAGTGATAATTCTTAGTGATAGTGCGTGTTAGTATTTAATGAAAATAACAACCTTAGTGGTGCGGATAGCTGGGCGAGTAGCGTATACAGAGTTATTGTGATATCCGCGGGTAACCGCTGCATATTAGGCAATAATTCTTATAAAGACTTAACACTTTTTATAGATAAAATTTTTTTGCATTCTTCTTAAATCGATACTGCCATTTACATTTTACTAAAGTAATCGATACATTATGCTTCATTTCAATATTCAAATCATTTAAACTAATAGGACGATTCCCCCCAAATGGTTTAGTCTACAGTTGGTCAGCGTCAATATCTATCAAGTTCGAATTTTAAGGCAATTTTCGACATTGTAAGCTAAATGTCGTAAATGGTGAATGTAACTGACCATAGTGATAGGTTCGTTCTAATAGTTTCATCGATTTTCGATATTGACATGCAAGTGAAATGTGCATTCTTATTTTGGACTGACTACGACGTAGTAATCTGTTGCGTAGTTGTAGGATCACGAATCATCACGCCATCATCCGCATCACTGCACCTCATTTCGTCATCGTCATCATGGCACGGTTTGAGTGGACGGTGGACTGGCTCTATGTTCTAAGATTCAGCACTTTACAAAATAATCTGAGCGGTAGTGGCACAATTATTCAATTAAATATTTATGTGAAGCTTTAGATTTGCACGTAAAAGTAGTGTTTCAATCATTTATATTTCCTTGATAAAAAGCTTTAACAGTTCATTATAAATAATAACAAAAAACTTTTTGGCTATATTGACGTCAGAAATAATCAATATAATGAATATTATTCAGAATTGGCAGCTGCTTGTGAATTGCAGGGCGTTAAAAATAATAACACCGACAGTAATTTCAGCTTTCATAAAATATTTAACGATGTTGCTACCGAGCGCAGCCTGCGCACATCCCGTGTCGGACCATAGGTGCCAGTCGCCTTGTGTGCTTGTAATACCTCTTAAATATTTTAATAATTAATCTCCTCTGCTTAAAAATTATTCTAAGAAATTTATCATAGCAAGGTATCATATTGTAAATATGCCGTTTATCTACTACTCGCAGATGCTTATCGAAAAAGTATTTAATGAGATATTATTGCATATGTCTAGTTTAGCTGTAACTCGATAGTACATTAATTCACAATATCAAAGATCCCTAATTATTTTAAAGCGATCCCGCCGCGGAGCGATCACACTTCATATGTTAATCAATTTTTAATTTTATCGAAGTTTGCTCGTTCTAATATAGAAATATATTTAAAAGTTTAAATATACATTTAACGAATAAAATATTTGAAAAAAAAATAAAACGAGCTGTTGTTGGTATATTTAGAAAAATATTAAAATGAACCAGATCATCTGATGGTGGCCATGTACAAATATGAAGTGAATTGTGATCGGGCTGCGGCGCTTAATAATACGACACAAATTATAAAGTCATATTGTTTAATAGTCAAATACAGAGCCATTTACGTAGATGTATTATCATAGTACTTGTTTATGATGACTCATCAAATGTATCATGTCATTGACCCCCTCTTTCCGGTACAAAATCAAAGTATTTTCAAATACTATTTTAAATTTAAATTCCTTAGATGTTTATATCAAGGTCCTCCGGTTAAACAAAAAGGCTGTTGGTTCCATATTTTATAGATATTTCAATATTTAACGTCGACAAACATTACCTCTTTAGATACAAAACGAAAAAAAAAAATAGTTAAATTATACTAAAACAGTCATGGCTCCTTGTGGAATATTTACAGTTTAGATTAGTTTGATAGTGTTGTGAACAAAATACAAAGTTACGCGCACTCGACTGTTACAAATATACAATCCATAGAGTCTATATTGTAGCCTGTGTAAGAAGAAAATAGATTCGGATACAACTCAGTTGGAGCCCGTCAAGGGTAACGTAGAATGTTCTTACTATTTTGTCATATTTAATTTAAAACAAAAATCCTCTTTTTAAGGCTCTTCTACAAATGGAGCTCAATGAAAGTGTTTTTATTTTGAATATTTATATGAAAACTTCAAAGGTTGTATAGGTAATTATTTATAAATAGTAAACAATAGTTCGGTTCTTCCCAACTTACACAAATATTACATTATCTGATATGTGTTTGATTATTCATATTTTAGACACTTAGTTACTTGTTCAGTTTAATAATAAATGTAATTAACACAAACGTTGCCAACTTTCTTAGTTTATTTGCACATATTTGTTAAATTTTGTAATTAATGACAATTTATTTAGACACCGACATTCGAATTTCTTCATGTTGAATTGTAATGTGGTGTAATTTAGTGAATTGCTTCAAAGTACAAAGAAACGATTTGTTACTTTTGCAAATTTTATAAAATAAATCAAATACATATTAACTGAACTAGATAATCTTTACAAAATAGTTGCTGTAAATCCTAATATATCCGCTTTTGTTTTTATTTCACAGATAATTTTTAGTCGTTCTGTAAAGGTCTTGTTTTAAATTATTTGAAATTTTGTATCAAAAATTGTTACTTATTGTAAAAACTATATTATCTTAGATCGGTTCTATTCATTACTTAATGACTCGTATTTTATCATAATGCTATTAGAATTCGTACATTGTACCTTAAGCACTCTGTAAGTAGAACATCGGCATAATATTCGTTGATCTGTAGGTATCATGTCTCGCTTTGAGTATAGGTTAATCAAATCTTATTTCCACTATAGTTCTTATTTAGATTCGTAGGGTTTTCTTTAATAATAAACTGTGTGAATGAGGATGTATGTATGGGGTCACACTTAACATTAAGTTTCGTCATCGTGGCGCTCTTTTTTCTATATTGGTAATGGTAACTTGTACTAAGCAAGTATTGTTATGTATCGTGTACATTCTGGTCATAGCGGTGCGTACGCGCACTACGCCTAAGTATGTGAAAATCGTCTTTAAATCTTCCCCGATGCTTAACGTAGATTTTATTATTCAGTGTAATACTTGAAACGTTACTGCTGACTTTTTATATTCAATGTTTTAACGGCAATATAAAAATCGCATGTGAGTAATAATATGTACTAACTAAAAAACTGTCAAAATATATGTTTATAACATCGTAATTGTATTTATGTCTGGGTAATACTGACAATGTGCTTATTCTTTCAGAACAAAAGTGCACAGACATCAGTTGAAATCCAAAAATCTCATTTTCGTATATTGCCAAAATTCTCAGCAGAATTAAAAGACGTTGTGTTACACTGATATTTGTTCTAATGTAAGTTGACGCTTCCCCGAGCGCTATATAGAGTATCTGCTGATGGACCAATGGGTCCAAGACAGGTTATAGATGTGACATTCAGCATCCAATGGTACCCGGCATCCACACGCTCAAAATTTTCCAAACGCATTGGCTGATTCTAGTATACGGCTGTTATTGGTTAGTGAAAAAAAATTGCAAATCAAAAACATGTTAATTATATTTTGATACTCGATGTTTTCTACAATAATGTAGTAAGTTCGTATTAATCTTTTGTATTAACTTGTATAGGTAGGATTAATCGCGCTCGGTCGCATTTTGTAGTTTTGATGGATGAACGTTATCGACTCCTTAACAACGTTTAGTTTATTTTTAGACTGAAGCGTACATACCGGTCAATATATAGCTTCTAAACTATTAAATGCGATACGATTGTGATAGGTGATTACATTACAGTCACTAGTAGCACAGTATCGCGAATGCTGCAACTGGCTAGTTTTGGACGGTCTGAAGTCAATACATGTGCGACTCCGAGTTGTTCCACATAAATGTAACCACTCGGGGTTCGAAGTAAATGC